ATAGTTATGTTAGTCAGGACACATGTCCTTGGAGAATTTAAATCATTGATGTTTTTTAGTCAAGCAGGACGCCCAATTATAGAAAATCTGCTTTGAGTCGTTAAATAAAAAATGAAATAAAACTATTTAATTAAAAAAGAGAATTTAATTGCTTCTATGAATAAGATATATTAAGGACACTATTGTCTTAAGAAAATTTGTTTCGATGAATAATGAATTTTTACAAGAATTGTTTTCATATTTAAAAAAAATTAATTAAAATAATTTATAAAGTTCTAACTCTTTTAAAATTCGGTATTAATTTGTATCGGCCAAGTGATATTGTTATTAAATTAAAACTGTATTTATTAATCATAAGTGGAAAAGCTCACTACAATTCAGTTTTTAAAATAATTATGAATTTATTTTATGTGTATAAACGTGTCAATTTTTATAAATACAGACGTCTATGCAAGACATTATTTGAAAATAAGAGCGGTAACTATAGCCAATTTAAAATTGATTGGGAATTTTCTAGCATTTCCTCAACAAGTACCTTCTTTTTTTAAAAAAAAAAAGAAGCTATAAAGCCAATGTATCTAAAATTGAATAAAATATTAGAACGCTTAAACATTTAAAATTTTGAAGATTAGTGGGAATCTAAAAATTATATTAAAAAGGCGTTTACGTTGTATTCATCATGTAATTTCATTTCAATTATCTTCCTAAATTTTCCAAACATTAGGTTGTCGATAGAACTGTCAACACCTCATAAAAACATCCACCACCATTGTGTTAAAAATGTTTTCCTGCCATATTTTAAACTAAAAGTAAGTAACATTTTTTTCAATTCAGATTAATTAATTTTAAAATCAGTTAACTATTCTCAAATAACATTCCAGGAAAGTATATTTTGTTTTGAAAGAATTTTTAATAAACAAAATTTTATTGCATTGATAGATTTGTCAATATGGGTGAATTCAAAGATTTGAAAAATAATCAGAAAAAATAATTCCAAACAATTTAAATTCGGTTTGAAATACACCAAAGTATTTTACTTATTATAAATATTAAATTTAGTCTACTGGATTGGAAGTAAAACTAAAATGAGAGACATTTATCATTTTTTAATGCTTTTTTAACCTTAGGTATTGCTTTTTTGAGGTTATATTAATATTTCTTTTCTATTTTTTTAGATTATATTAATATTTCAAATGATTAGAAACTGAAATCAATGTAATATAATCCCTTCTATAAATATAAGCTTAAATTCATATAATTACACTGAAATTATGACCAATGTTGTTTGGTTAAAAAAAAACGATTTTATTGTGGAAATATTGACTTGAATAATAAATTGTATCCTTATTTTTCTAAAAGTGAAACAAAGATTTCAAGTACCACCTGTTCAGCTATTTATTTGCAAGTAAAGAAAGACAGATTAGTCGGTTAAACAAACAAGCACAGATTATTCGATAGATACGATTGAGAATATGGAAGAAAACTTTGAGGTTCGATAAAAAAATGAAGTACCACTCTTTTTTAAGTACGTATTCATTGGTGGAGAATATACAGAAACAGTCAGTTATATGCATATAACACACACACACACACACACATACGCACACACGCTCAAACGTGAAAACACACACGCGCAAACGTGCACACACACACACATCCACACACACATCCACACACACACACACACACACACACACACACACACACACACACACACACATATATATATATATATATATATATATATATATATATATATATATATATATATATATATGTACATTTGTCATCAGAGCCAGTGCGCACAACCCTCGAGCCCCCTGACCGGAAGTGGGAGCCTGATTGGAGCCTCCAGGCTGTGCTTTATGACCCTCGCTATCTTATCAACATTTGGTTTTATCTACCTACACTTATACGTCACAATTGAAACTAAAGACATCCGATTTCGAAAGGATGAAAATTTTCTTGAATTTTGATGTCGTTCTGGGGTCGTTTTTTTCGTCCAAATCATGAATCTTTTTTGTTCTCGAAAAAACAAATTTACTATTTTTTATCCATAATGTTGAATGTGTTAAAATTATTCAATTTTTAACAAAAAAAAAATCTCAAGGTGGCGTTAAACATGTTAAAAATCGTTGCAAAACATTGTTGATTTATTTAAGATGGAATAAGCTAATTTGTATTTAGATACATTGTATTTATTTCGTAATTTTTCTAGTTATAATTTTAAACCTATTGCATATGATCCATTATTGTACATAATGAGGTTATAATAAAATTTGTATTTTATATAAATACTACCTTATGACACCTGAGAAGTACTAAGTTCGAAGATGGGCTGTATCATATTCCGAGGGTGGGGGCACGGGACCCTTGTAACCGGCCCTATTTATCGTATGAAATAGCATTTATAAAAACCATTCGCAAGCAGCCACATCAGAGGTCAATATATTTGAAGTACGGTTTAGTCAATTGTAGTTATCTCCCTTCGTTCATAATTGTTCCTGTGCCTGGTAATGTCATCCTTGTATAAATCCCAGAAATTGATAAGAATCATTGCTCCTCTTGTTAATTGATCGCAACATTTATTGAAAGTTCTATGATTAAAAACCAAGACAAGTAGAAATTGTATTTTTTAATAATCCTTAATTATAGTTTGATTTCCTTTCTGTTTTTTTTTTTTAATAAAAGTATTTGATAGAATTTATAAACGTGTAAACTAATTTTGAGGAAAAGTTTTTATGTTAATTTACATAAGTAAATTAATGAAGTCTCCAAATTGATTATATTATTTTAGGTTAGTCCAATTTAAAAGAAGGATATTTCAGTTAAAATTTTGTGAAAATATTTACTGAAACAATGTTTTAATAAATAAAAACTAGCTCAAAAACAGAAACATGTTACTGTCGTGAAAGTGACTGAAAGATAGATACATAGAGAGAGAGAGAGAGAGAGAGAGAGAGAGAGAGAGAGAGAGAGATTATTATTATTATTTAACAGCTTGCACGCAAATATATGAATCGACTGGATGTCTCAAAAGAAAAAATTATTTAATTGAAAAATACTAATAATGAATATAATATTAGCAAATCAAAAATTAGTAAAGATTTTAATTTCTTTTGAATTTTAATAATGTATTTAAAGTCATTAAATAAATTGAAAACATTGTAGTCATAAACACTGAGATTTTAAACAGAAAAAGTTACTTTTGGATGTAAAGATCCACTTCAGGACTTCGATTATTAATGCAAAAATCTCTACCATGGAAATTGAAAATATTTATATGAAAGAATCTATTTAATAAAAACATTTTTTACAATTGTAAAATGCTTCAGTGAATGCAATTCAGGTTAGATTGACGTTGTTACAAACAATTTTGTTTTGAATAGAAAAAAATAATGTGAATGAAATTGGCAAAATCAATCATGAAAAATCGAAATGAAAACAAAATAAAAAAACGAAACAAACAAAAGAAAAATTCCCTATTCCTTTCTGCTTTATTTACGCTGTCGATGATTTTACCGGACGTAAATTTGATGCTCACTTTAAAGGGGTTGTACCAAGCTTAGTGCTTCTTTTCGGAGATTAATTTATTCTTTTTTATAATATAGTTGACTCCATCCTCGCTGGCTGACTTCCTCATTTCAGTTTATTGAAGTCAAAATATAGTTTCGACATTATTTACATTATTCGCACTATTGTCCTCATCTTTGCACGCAAATATATGAATCGACTGGATGTCGCAAAAGAAAAAATTATTTAATTGAAAAATACTAATAATGAATATAATATTAGCAAATCAAAAATTAGTAAAGGTGTTCCTTACGCTGTTATCAAAGGAGTAACAGTGGCCCTTTAATGGAATGCAAAGGTGTTGCATTTGTTCACGGATTCCGCCTGCGTGCATAAATGGATAGCAGACACTCTTACGGGTAAGGCCAGGATACGTACAAAGGCTGCGAGCGAAATGCTCATTCGAAGGCGACTAGACACACTGGGAAAGTTGGTGAGTGAGTAAAACTTATCAGTGGATATACAGCTAGTTAGATCAAATCGGAACAAGGCAGATAATTTAACATGGGTACCCCAAAAATGGCTTGACGCTGTTAAGAAAGAGGTAGAGCCGGTAGGACATATCTGTGCAACATCAGCGAGCGACCGTAACTCAGATCTACTAAAATCTGTGCATTGCCAAAGTGGACATCCCGGTATAAAACAGGCTCTGTATTTCGTGAGGCAGATTGATCCCTCTGTATCCAAAGCTGCTGTCAGGGCAGTGGTCAGAGAATGCAAGTAGTGTCAGTCCATCGGCTGATGTACCTGTACAATGGCCAAAAAGACAACTGAGTGTGAGCAAAGTGTGGCACCGTGTTGGAATGGACATCATCCTTCATAATGGAACTCACTATCTAACCCTTATTGACTGTGGCCCACCCCGGTTCACTATTTGGCGACGTCTACGTCAACAGGATTCCGCAAGTGATTGACCACTTGCGGGCGTTGTTCTTTGAACGTGGACATTCGACGGAACTTCTCACTGACAACGACACTTCATTCCGCAGTGGACTATTTAAAGATTTTTTTAGATTCGTGCGGAGTCCACCTCAGATTTCACTGCGTATATGTCCCATCATGAAATGGCATAATCGAGCGATGCCATCAGAGCGTCAAGAGAATCGCTGCTAAGAAGCAGTGTTCCATAATGGAAGCGGTGTATTGGCACAACGTTAACCCTAAAGACAATGTATCATCCTCAACTGTGCCAGCCAACATGATTTACGGGTACAAAGTCCGGCTAATAGGCATTGACGCGACGCGTTCAACTGAACAGATAAAAGAACGAGCGCCGTATGACCTGGGCAATCGCGTGTGGGTAAAAGCCCCACATAGCCGGTGTACAACTCGGTACCGGGTGGGGCATGTCACTGGAATCAGTAACTCGCGCACTGTGCTGGTTGATGTAATGCCAAGACACGTTAAAGACTTGCGTCCCTATGTAGGTTCAGATACTTCAGCAAGTGACACTATCAGTGAGTGCTGAGGAAGTTAGTGCTAGTATCTCTTCAGATGGTGAAGACACTGTGCGTGAGATTGTCAGATCAGAAGAATCCTCAGAAGACGAGTCCTCAGAACATTCATCAGATGGTGAAGACTCTGTGCGTGAGATTGTCAGATCAGAAGAATCCTCAGAAGACGAGTCTTCAGAACATTCATCAGATGGTGAAGACGCTGTGCATGAGATTGTCAGATCAGAAGAATCCTCAGAAGACGAGTCCTCATAACATTCATCAGATGGTGAAGACTCTGTGCGTGAGATTGTCAGATCAGAAGAATCCTCAGAAGACGAGTCTTCAGAACATTCATCAGATGGTGAAGACTCTGTGCATGAGATTGTCAGATCAGAAGAATCCTCAGAAGACGAGTCCTCAGAACATTCATCAGATGGTGAACACTCTGTGCGTGAGATTGTCAGATCAGAAGAATCCTCAGAAGACGAGTCTTCAGAACATTCATCAGATGGTGAAGACTCTGTGCATGAGATTGTCAGATCAGAAGAATCCTCAGAAGACGAGTCCTCAGAACATTCATCAGATGGTGAAGACTCTGTGCGTGAGATTGTCAGATCAGAAGAATCCTCAGAAGACGAGTCTTCAGAACATTCATCAGATGGTGAAGACTCTGTGCGTGAGATTGTCAGATCAGAAGAATCCTCAGAAGACGAGTCCTCATAACATTCATCAGATGGTGAAGACTCTGTGCGTGAGATTGTCAGATAAGAAGAATCCTCAGAAGACGAGTCTTCAGAACATTCATCAGATGGTGAAGACTCTGTGCGTGAGATTGTCAGATCAGAAGAATCCTCAGAAGACGAGTCTTCAGAACATTCATCAGATGGTGAAGACTCTGTGCGTGAGATTGTCAGATCAGAAGAATCCTCAGAAGATGAGTCTTCAGAACATTCATCAGATGGTGAAGACTCTGTGCATGAGATTGTCAGATCAGAAGAATCCTCAGAAGACGAGTCCTCAGAACATTCATCAGATGGTGAAGACTCTGTGCGTGAGATTGTCAGATCAGAAGAATCCTCAGAAGACGAGTCTTCAGAACATTCATCAGATGGTGAAGACACTGTGCGTGAGATTGTCAGATCAGAAGAATCCTCAGAAGACGAGTCCTCAGAACATTCATCAGATGGTGAAGACACTGTGCGTGAGATTGTCAGATCAGAAGAATCCTCAGAAGACGAGTCTTCAGAACATTCATCAGATGGTGAAGAATCTGTGCATGAGATTGTCAGATCAGAAGAATCCTCAGAAGACGAGTCCTCAGAACATTCATCAGATGGTGAAGACTCTGTGCGTGAGTTTGTCAGATCAGAAGAATCCTCAGAAGACGAGTCTTCAGAACATTCATCAGATGGTGAAGACTCTGTGCGTGAGATTGTCAGATCAGAAGAATCCTCAGAAGACGAGTCTTCAGAACATTCATCAGATGGTGAAGACACTGTACGATGAGATGGTCAGATCAGAAGAATCCTCAGAAGACGTGTCCTCAGAACATTCATCAGATGGTGAAGACACTGTGCGTGAGATTGTCAGATCAGAAGAATCCTCAGAAGACGAGTCTTCAGAACATTCATCAGATGGTGAAGACACTGTACGTGAGATGGTCAGATCAGAAGAATCCTCAGAAGACGTGTCCTCAGAACATTCATCAGATGGTGAAGACACTGTGCGTGAGATTGTCAGATCAGAAGAATCCTCAGAAGACGAGTCTTCAGAACATTCATCAGATGGTGAAGACACTGTGCGTGAGATGGTCAGATCAGAAGAATCCTCAGAAGACGTGTCCTCAGAACATTCATCAGATGGTGAAGACACTGTGCGTGAGATTGTCAGATCAGAAGAATCCTCAGAAGACGAGTCTTCAGAACATTCATCAGATGGTGAAGACACTGTGCATCAGATGAAGATTGTCAGATCAGAAGAATCCTCAGAAGACGAGTCCTCAGAACATTCATCAGATGGTGAAGACACTGTGCGTGAGATTGTCAGATCAGAAGAATCCTCAGAAGACGAGTCTTCAGAACATTCATCAGATGGTGAAGACACTGTGCGTGAGATTGTCAGATCAGAAGAATCCTCAGAAGACGAGTCTTCAGAACATTCATCAGATGGTGAAGACACTGTACGTGAGATGGTCAGATCAGAAGAATCCTCAGAAGACGTGTCCTCAGAACATTCATCAGATGGTGAAGACACTGTGCGTGAGATTGTCAGATCAGAAGAATCCTCAGAAGACGAGTCTTCAGAATATTCATCAGATGGTGAAGACACTGTGCGTGAGATTGTCAGATCAGAAGAATCCTCAGAAGACGAGTCTTCAGAACATTCATCAGATGGTGAAGACACTGTGCGTGATTGTCAGATCAGAAGAATCCTCAGAAGACGTGTCTTCAGAACATTTATCAGATGGTGAAGACACTGTGCGTGAGATTGTCAGATCAGAAAAATCCTCAGAAACGAGTCCTCAGAACATTCATCAGATGGTGAAGACACTGTGCGTGAGATTGTCAGATCAGAAGAATCCTCAGAAGACGAGTCCTCAGAACATTCATCAGATGGTGAAGACACTGTGCGTGAGATTGTCAGATCAGAAGAATCCTCAGAAGACGAGTCCTCAGAACATTCATCAGATGGTGAAGACTCTGTGCGTGAGATTGTCAGATCAGAAGAATCCTCAGAAGACGAGTCCTCAGAACATTCATCAGATGGTGAAGACTCTGTGCGTGAGATTGTCAGATCAGAAGAATCCTCAGAAGACGAGTCTTCAGAACATTCATCAGATGGTGAAGACACTGTGCGTGAGATTGTCAGATCAGAAGAATCCTCAGAAGACGAGTCCTCAGAACATTCATCAGATGGTGAAGACTCTGTGCGTGAGATTGTCAGATCAGAAGAATCCTCAAGACGAGTCCTCAGAACATTCATCCGATGGTGGTGAAGACACTGTGCGTGAGATTGTCAGATCAGAAGAATCCTCAGAAGACGAGTCCTCAGAACATTCATCAGATGGTGAAGACTCTGTGCGTGAGATTGTCAGATCAGAAGAATCCTCAGAAGACGAGTCTTCAGAACATTCATCAGATGGTGAAGACACTGTGCGTGAGATTGTCAGATCAGAAGAATCCTCAGAAGACGAGTCCTCAGAACATTCATCAGATGGTGAAGACACTGTGCGTGAGATTGTCAGATCAGAAGAATCCTCAGAAGACGAGTCCTCAGAACATTCATCAGATGGTGAAGACTCTGTGCGTGAGATTGTCAGATCAGAAGAATCCTCAGAAGACGAGTCTTCAGAACATTCATCAGATGGTGAAGACAGTGTGCGTGAGATTGTCAGATCAGAAGAATCCTCAGAAGACGAGTCCTCAGAACATTCATCAGATGGTGAAGACACTGTGCGTGAGATTGTCAGATCAGAAGAATCCTCAGAAGACGAGTCCTCAGAACATTCATCAGATGGTGAAGACTCTGTGCGTGAGATTGTCAGATCAGAAGAATCCTCAGAAGACGAGTCCTCAGAACATTCATCAGATGGTGAAGACTCTGTGCGTGAGATTGTCAGATCAGAAGAATCCTCAGAAGACGAGTCTTCAGAACATTCATCAGATGGTGAAGACACTGTGCGTGAGATTGTCAGATCAGAAGAATCCTCAGAAGACGAGTCCTCAGAACATTCATCAGATGGTGAAGACTCTGTGCGTGAGATTGTCAGATCAGAAGAATCCTCAGAAGACGAGTCCTCAGAACATTCATCCGATGGTGAAGACACTGTGCGTGAGATTGTCAGATCAGAAGAATCCTCAGAAGACGAGTCCTCAGAACATTCATCAGATGGTGAAGACTCTGTGCGTGAGATTGTCAGATCAGAAGAATCCTCAGAAGACGAGTCTTCAGAACATTCATCAGATGGTGAAGACACTGTGCGTGAGATTGTCAGATCAGAAGAATCCTCAGAAGACGAGTCCTCAGAACATTCATCAGATGGTGAAGACACTGTGCGTGAGATTGTCAGATCAGAAGAATCCTCAGAAGACGAGTCCTCAGAACATTCATCAGATGGTGAAGACTCTGTGCGTGAGATTGTCAGATCAGAAGAATCCTCAGAAGACGAGTCTTCAGAACATTCATCAGATGGTGAAGACACTGTGCGTGAGATTGTCAGATCAGAAGAATCCTCAGAAGACGAGTCCTCAAAACATTCATCAGATGGTGAAGACTCTGTGCGTGAGATTGTCAGATCAGAAGAATCCTCAGAAGACGAGTCTTCAGAACATTCATCAGATGGTGAAGACACTGTGCGTGAGATTGTCAGATCAGAAGAATCCTCGAAGACGAGTCCTCAGAACATTCATCAGATGGTGAAGACTCTGTGCGTGAGATTGTCAGATCAGAAGAATCCTCAGAAGACGAGTCCTCAGAACATTCATCAGATGGTGAAGACACTGTGCGTGAGATTGTCAGATCAGAAGAATCCTCAGAAGACGAGTCCTCAGAACATTCATCAGATGGTGAAGACTCTGTGCGTGAGATTGTCAGATCAGAAGAATCCTCAGAAGACGAGTCTTCAGAACATTCATCAGATGGTGAAGACACTGTGCGTGAGATTGTCAGATCAGAAGAATCCTCAGAAGACGAGTCTTCAGAACATTCATCAGATGGTGAAGACACTGTGCGTGAGATTGTCAGATCAGAAGATCCTCAGAAGACGAGTCCTCAGAACATTCATCAATGGTGAAGACTCTGTGCGTGAGATTGTCAGATCAGAAGAATCCTCAGAAGACGAGTCCTCAGAACATTCATCAGATGGTGAAGACTCTGTGCGTGAGATTGTCAGATCAGAAGAATCCTCTGAAGACGAGTCTTCAGAACATTCATCAGATGGTGAAGACACTGTGCGTGAGATTGTCAGATCAGAAGAATCCTCAGTAGACGAGTCCTCAGAACATTCATCAGATGGTGAAGACTCTGTGCGTGAGATTGTCAGATCAGAAGAATCCTCAGAAGACGAGTCCTCAGAACATTCATCAGATGGTGAAGACACTGTGCGTGAGATTGTCAGATCAGAAGAATCCTCAGAAGACGAGTCCTCAGAACATTCATCAGATGGTGAAGACTCTGTGCGTGAGATTGTCAGATCAGAAGAATCCTCAGAAGACGAGTCTTCAGAACATTCATCAGATGGTGAAGACACTGTGCGTGAGATTGTCAGATCAGAAGAATCCTCAGAAGACGAGTCCTCAGAACATTCATCAGATGGTGAAGACTCTGTGCGTGAGATTGTCAGATCAGAAGAATCCTCAGAAGACGAGTCTTCAGAACATTCATCAGATGGTGAAGACACTGTGCGTGAGATTGTCAGATCAGAAGAATCCTCAGAAGACGAGTCCTCAGAACATTCATCAGATGGTGAAGACTCTGTGCGTGAGATTGTCAGATCAGAAGAATCCTCAGAAGACGAGTCCTCAGAACATTCATCAGATGGTGAAGACTCTGTGCGTGAGATTGTCAGATCAGAAGAATCCTCAGAAGACGAGTCCTCAGAACATTCATCAGATGGTGAAGACTCTGTGCGTGAGATTGTCAATCAGAAGAATCCTCAGAAGACGAGTCCTCAGAACATTCATCAGATGGTGAAGACACTGTGCGTGAGATTGTCAGATCAGAAGAATCCTCAGAAGACGAGTCCTCAGAACATTCATCAGATGGTGAAGACTCTGTGCGTGAGATTGTCAGATCAGAAGAATCCTCAGAAGACGAGTCTTCAGAACATTCATCAGATGGTGAAGACACTGTGCGTGAGATTGTCAGATCAGAAGAATCCTCAGAAGACGAGTCCTTCAGAACATTCATCAGATGGTGAAGACACTGTGCGTGAGATTGTCAGATCAGAAGAATCCTCTGACGAGTCCTCAGAAGATTCTGTCAGATCAGAAGAATCCTCAGACTCTGTGCGTGAGATTGTCAGATCAGAAGAATCCTCAGAAGACGAGTCTTCAGAACATTCATCAGATGGTGAAGACACTGTGCGTGAGATTGTCAGATCAGAAGAATCCTCAGCAGACGAGTCTTCAGAACATTCATCAGATGGTGAAGACACTGTGCGTGAGATTGTCAGATCAGAAGAATCCTCAGAAGACGAGTCCTCAGAACATTCATCAGATGGTGAAGACTCTGTGCGTGAGATTGTCAGATCAGAAGAATCCTCAGAAGACGAGTCCTCAGAACATTCATCAGATGGTGAAGACTCTGTGCGTGAGATTGTCAGATCAGAAGAATCCTCAGAAGACGAGTCCTCAGAACATTCATCAGATGGTGAAGACACTGTGCGTGATTGTCAGATCAGAAGAATCCTCAGAAGACGAGTCTTCAGAATCAGATGGGTCATCAGATGGTGAAGACACTGTGCGTGAGATTGTCAGATCAGAAGAATCCTCAGAAGACGAGTCCTCAGAACATTCATCAGATGGTGAAGACTCTGTGCGTGAGATTGTCAGATCCTCAGAAGAATCCTCAGAAGACGAGTCCTCAGAAGACGAGTCTTCAGAACATTCATCAGATGGTGAAGACACTGTGCGAGATTGTCAGATCAGAAGAATCCTCAGAAGACGAGTCTTCAGAACATTCATCAGATGGTGAAGACACTGTGCGTGAGATTGTCAGATCAGAAGAATCCTCAGAAGACGAGTCCTCAGAACATTCATCAGATGGTGAAGACTCTGTGCGTGAGATTGTCAGATCAGAAGAATCCTCAGAAGACGAGTCCTCAGAACATTCATCAGATGGTGAAGATGGCGTGAGATTGTCAGATCAGAAGAATCTCAGAAGACGAGTCCTCAGAACATTCATCAGATGGTGAAGACACTGTGCGTTGTCAGATTGACGAGTCAGAAATCATCAGATTGTCAGATTCATCAGAAGATCAGAAGAATCCTCAGAAGACGAGTCCTCAGAACATTCATCAGATGGTGAAGACTCTGTGCGTGAGATTGTCAGATCAGAAGAATCCTCAGAAGACGAGTCCTCAGAATGGTGAAGACTCTGTGCGTGATTCAGAAGAATCCTCAGAAGACGAGTCCTCAGAACATTCATCAGATGGTGAAGACTCTGTGCGTGAGATTGTCAGATCAGAAGAATCCTCAGAAGACGAGTCCTCAGAACATTCATCAGATGGTGAAGACACTGTGCGTGAGATTGTCAGATCAGAAGAATCCTCAGAAGACGAGTCCTCAGAATATTCATCAGATGGTGAAGACACTGTGCGTGAGATTGTCAGATCAGAAGAATCCTCAGAAGACGAGTCCTCAGAACATTCATCAGATGGTGAAGACTCTGAAGACACAGAAGAATGAAGACGAGTCCTCAGAACATTCATCAGATGGTGAAGACTTGTCAGATCAGAAGAATCCTCAGAAGACGAGTCCTCAGAACATTCCTCAGATGGTGAAGACTCTGTGCGTGAGATTGTCAGATCAGAAGAATCCTCAGAAGACGAGTCCTCAGAACATTCATCACATGGTGAAGACACTGTGCGTGAGATTGTCAGATCAGAAGAATCCTCAGAAGACGAGTCTTCAGAATATTCATCAGATGGTGAAGACACTGTGCGTGAGATTGTCAGATCAGAAGAATCCTCAGAAGACGAGTCCTCAGAACATTCATCAGATGGTGAAGACACTGTGCGTGTGATTGTCAGATCAGAAGAATCCTCAGAAGACGAGTCTTCAGAATATTCATCAGATGGTGAAGACACTGTGCGTGAGATTGTCAGATCAGAAGAATCCTCAGAAGACGAGTCCTCATAACATTCATCAGATGGTGAAGACACTGTGCGTGAGATTGTCAGATCAGAAGAATCCTCAGAAGACGAGTCTTCAGAATATTCATCAGATGGTGAAGACACTGTGCGTGAGATTGTCAGATCAGAAGAATCCTCAGAAGACGAGTCCTCATAACATTCATCAGATGGTGAAGACACTGTGCGTGAGATTGTCAGATCAGAAGAATCCTCAGAAGACGAAGACACTGTCTTTGTCAGATCAGAATATTCATCAGATGGTGAAGACACTGTGCGTGAGATTGTCAGATCAGAAGAATCCTCAGAAGACGAGTCCTCAGAACATTCATCAGATGGTGAATCAGAAGAATCCTCAGAAGACACTGTGCGTGAGATTGTCAGATCAGAAGAATCCTCAGAAGACGAGTCCTCATAACATTCATCAGATGGTGAAGACTCTGTGCGTGAGATTGTCAGATCAGAAGAATCCTCAGAAGACGAGTCTTCAGAACATTCATCAGATGGTGAAGACACTGTGCGTGAGATTGTCAGATCAGAAGAATCCTCAGAAGACGAGTCCTCAGAACATTCATCAGATGGTGAAGACACTGTGCGTGAGATTGTCAGATCAGAAGAATCCTCAGAAGACGAGTCCTCAGAACATTCATCAGATGGTGAAGACACTGTGCGTGAGATTGTCAGATCAGAAGAATCCTCAGAAGACTAGTCTTCAGAATATTCATCAGATGGTGAAGACACTGTGCGTGAGATTGTCAGATCAGAAGAATCCTCAGAAGACGAGTCCTCAGAACATTCATCAGATGGTGAAGACTCTGTGCGTGAGATTGTCAGATCAGAAGAATCCTCAGAAGACGAGTCTTCAGAACATTCATCAGATGGTGAAGACTCTGTGCGTGAGATTGTCAGATCAGAAGAATCCTCAGAAGACGAGTCTTCAGAACATTCATCAGATGGTGAAGACACTGTGCGTGAGATTGTCAGATCAGAAGAATCCTCAGAAGACGAGTCCTCAGAACATTCATCAGATGGTGAAGACACTGTGCGTGAGATTGTCAGATCAGAAGAATCCTCAGAAGACGAGTCCTCAGAACATTCATCAGATGGTGAAGACTCTGTGCGTGAGATTGTCAGATCAGAAGAATCCTCAGAAGACGAGTCTTCAGAACATTCATCAGATAAATATTTCTGTTTTAGAAAAGTTTTGTAAAAATATTTTGTAATCTGTTAAATGTCACATTAATTTTATGAAAGTCTGAAAATTTCTTTTTGTAACGCTTGTCCTTGTAATCTGTTCTGAATCGTAAAATAAAAAAATGCAATAAAACTAAGATATTATTTAATTAGAAAATCTATTAATTGCTTTTATATATATATATATATATATATATATATATATATATATATTATGGACACTATATATATATATATATATATATATTATGGACACTATTTTGTGAGAAAAAATTTCGATGAATAATGAATTTTTACAAGAATATTTTCATTTGTAAAAGTTTTTTGCTTATAATAAGTAGCAATCAAGTGATATTGTTATTAAGTTAAAACTGTGTTTACTAATAATAAATGGAAAAGATTACTACAATTCAACGACACCCAATATTTTAAAATAATTTTGAACTTATTTTATGTGTGTATAAATATGTCAAGTTTTAAAAATACGGATGTGCAAATGCAACATTATCAGAAAATAAGAGTCGTAACTATACTAAATTTAAATTTATTCTAATTTCCTTTACAAGCGCATTCGCAAGGTAGACTATGAAGCCAAAATACCTAAAAATAAAAAAACATTATTAGATTCCGTAGAAAATTTTCAAGATTACTGGGTAGTTATATATATATATATATATGTGTGTGTGTGTGTGTGTGTGTGTGTGTGTGTGTGTGTGTGTGTGTGTGTGTGTGTGAAAATATATAGAAAATAGGAAAGAACTCGTTAGGTAAACAATCCAAAATTCTTTAGTATTTTTGTTATTATTTTTAAAAAAACAGTGCTCGATACAAAAGTAGAGCCTAAATATAATTGTTTATTTAAAAATATGATTCCATCGCTACATATGAGTTCTCATGTTTCAAAACAAGAGCCGAAAACTTCAATATAATTATTTGAATTAAATTGAATTAAAGTACCAAGCTCTGTTCCATCTTCAAGCGAATCTTCAATTGTATTTAATGTCACTAATCGACCGATAGACCAGTAATCTGAGTGAAGAACAACTATCTGCTTATTGTTATGAATAAAAACCAGTTTACGTTTTATAATCAATGCACTCCAAGCAAGGCGATAAAGCCACTATGACAGGCAAGGACTTATTGAGGTTTTAAAATAAATATAATAAATTGAAAATAATTAAATGCGAATTAATTTATTACTAAAATAATTCATTTAAGAAATATTTTAAATATAACATAGAAATATTGCAATTTTATTCTTATATAATCAGTAAAATATTTTTTAAAAACTTTATTGCATGAAATTATATTTTTTGAAGGATTTTTTTACGTCATGTCTCTATATTTCTTCTTATTTTCAATTCATTATATTCTTGAAGAACCAGAAATTTTAGACATGTAATACTGTGAAATCATATTTTTTTTGTTTTTAAAGATATTTCGAAATATTAACTTTTTAAATAAGAACCAAAGACTGAAAACGTCATCATTGAAAGGTAATTTTCAGACTGATTATTCTTCTGATTTTACACTACAAAAATCCCAAAGTATTAATTCATAAAACAAGGAATTTTATTTGTTTAAATATTTGTTCAATACTAGTTCATATTATTTTATTTCATATTTTTCTTATTTGGACAATAACAAAAAAATAAAAAAAATAATAAAAAAATTTAAAGTTAATTAATATTTATTAATATTCAGCTGCAGGCGTCAAATAAATTCTATACCATATTTCTTGGTGCCGAAGACGGTCCGGTCTTAAGGACACAACCTAATTTTTACTTGAAAAGGTTTGAAAAAGCTACAAGTTTTGGATTGAAAATTTTTCTAATAATGACTTAGAAGTAAAAGAAATGCTTCATCAAATGTCCATTTATTCATTTTTTTTCAATGTGCTAAGTTTATTCATTTAGTCGCATTGAAATTTATTGCTTAAGTTTCATCACTGTACAATGTTGTTAACCTTTGTGGTCACTTAAGGCGATTAATATCTGATCAATATATCAAGCGGTTATCAGGTCATGCTATTAAGGTTTAAGTGATCGAACAGAGCCAAAAGGCAAGAGAGCCAAAAAATAGAGAGAGAGAGAGAGAGAGAGAGAGAGAGAGAGAATCAGTGACCCATAACTGACTCTTGCAGTCAATAAATAACAATGCAAACTTTTGATATCCGTATTTATGAAATACCGTTTATACACGTGTATTAATCTATTTCATGTTGAGATTCAACCCTTGATTATTAGTCAAATCCTGATAGGTTATTAGTTCGTAGCTTTAAGAAGTGATCAACTCTACAGGAACGAGAGGTGATAGGGGAGAGAAAACATTAATTTGCCATTTTCAGAATCCTGTACAAGGTGATTTCTCCTAATTTTTAGCAATTTGCTTAAACTTAACTATACATTTGACTACTTTTGGCCTTGAATTGATCTTACTGTTTGTCCTGGCAACTGCAAGGCACCGCGTAATGAATAAATAGACGCTTTTTATGAAAAACATCCTGTTTTAATCTATGGCCATTCTAAATATGGTCAATTTCCATATAGCCAATTAACAGTCGTTAGGTAGACCACTGTAATTTGCTCAGTTTCTTCTGCTGGAAGCGTTGAACAACTTTACATTTTCATATATAGTTTATCACTTTATTATTTTCATTATTGTTTTACTTCCAGATTTTGGCATCTGACACAAATTACAATCTAACGAAACTATTAATATCTACTTGAAAATCTCGACTTATATATGTATATTTACGGCATGAAGCAAGACTGAAATTATATTTAGCAAAAATATCAATATTTACAAGTTTTGATAAGTGGAGAAATTTAGTATATTGCCGTATAAAAATTAGTTTTAAATAAAAACTGCTGCGGTGTAATATTTGGCGAAAGCGTCGCAAATGAGCTATTGTTAAGGCGTGTGGAACCAGAATTAAAAATAATATTTTCTCACGTGAATATCGCTGATAAAATGGTTGATTTTATTTGCGAGGCATTGATAGTATTACAGTCTTTCTAAAAAATGATACCTTTTGTCATATTTAATATCAAATTAGGAGATAAAAACATGATATCCCCCCTCCGGAAAAATAAAATGATTTTGATACCTTTTAATTGTTCTGTGTTTTGCAAGTATTTTAGACCGTGCTAAGTTTGAAACACTCTCGATATTATCTTAAGTGTAACATACAAATGAACGAATCATTGGATACGTCGGCGTGAAGCAATTGTTAGAGTTAGTCTGGTTAACAATTACTAGTGAGAACATTCTTAACTGCGTGTCAAAAGTAAGCAAAGTTTTGTAAATAACAATAAACTGATCACATTAAGTGTATGTAACAATCGGTCTACTGTAAAACTTATTCGAAAGATCTGAAACTTTTAATGACTGTTAATAAGTAAAATTATTTTTTGAAAGTCTAAATATCTTTAGTACAAAATATAGTCATCTTGATCGCAATGGTGGCGAGTGAGCACAAAACATGTTTTTCATTATTAGTGATACTACAGTAAACGTGTGTATATCCCGGTGACTCAGTACTAAGGGGGGGATTAAGTTAAGAATAATAAAATATAATTAGAGCAGACTAAAATTTCTGGTGATCACATTTTAATAGCGATATGAATAAAAAACTGACTCATTATTTATGATGTGGAGAGAGAGAGAGAGAGAGAGAGAGAGAGAGAGAGAGCAACAAAAGAAAAGCTAGATAGATTTTTAACAGGATGAGATGAGATACAATGTAAGATGAATAAAGCATATAAAAACATCATTTCATCTGGCGTGACGTAAGTAGGTTATATCAGAACAAGCCTAAATAGACAGACAGGTTACTGGTTTATACATATGTGTGTGTGTGTGTGAGTGTGTGGGTGTGTGTGTGTGATGGATAAATACAACACTTGCCTTAAAGAGCGTTATACTATTGTGGGTTCGATCCTAGCTTTTTGTCAGACGAAACATAACTGATGCAAATTTAAAATGCATTACGACTGACGACAACGGTATACGGGCTAGATAATTGTTCAATCACTTGAACAAGTAGTATCGAAGAAAAAATCACCGCCTTCCCCTGCTGAACTTCAATACCTGAGTCCTGACAGGTTGGTATGTAGATAAGGTAAGTAAATCGCCAAATGAATGCCGGGTACATTTAGAAGTGAATGAATATTCATCAGAAAAGTGTACGCGCACAAATTCCGGCAAAGAGAAAAGTGAACAAATGTCTCGAAAATATTTTTCAACTGGTTTCTGTTGCGGAATAGAGAAATTTGACCTCCTGGAACATTGACTTAGGATCTCACATTACGAGCTTAATAACCTTTGCACTAGGGAGAGAAAATAGATTTACTATTAGAGAATCTTACAGACTGACAAGAATGCAAAAAGCCTTACATAAAGCACGCATACATACATACATGCATATATATATATATATATATATATATATATATATATATATATATATATATATATATCTCGAACCGAAAACCTTTCATCAGAAATAACAACTTGATTCATTATGCTAAGTGCTATACATCTTATCATTAAATAAATCTCAATTTTTTTATATTTTGTAAATTCATTTTTCGGTTTTATATCCGATAAGAAGAATGAAGATCACTGCCAATCTATCTATCTAGAAGAGAATAAAAATGTTTTTTCCCTTTTTTATTTATTAGAAAAGGTATACAGTAAATTTGACATAGTCCTTATCGACATCCAGAACCTTTTGCCAACGTACCTCCAGCTGCTTAATGTCCTGTTGGTAAAAATCAGGTGTCTTGAAATCAAAGAATCTGTGAACGCCTGGTGCAACTCCGTCTCATTTGCAAAAGTGTTGTCACGAATGTGGTTGCCCAGGGAATAGAAGAGGTGATAATCTGTTGGCGCAAGCTCCGTGGAGTAAAGTGGATTGCACAGTGTTTCCCAGCCAAGTCGCCGTATGGTATCCCTGGATACTCGCGCCACATTAGGCCTGGCATTGTCATGGAGGAACAATGCTGGCTCCATCTGCTTCGGCGTCTGTTACACACATTCCAAGTGCTGTGAGTACAGTGATAATTTGGCCCGTTGGTAACAGCTCAGCAGTCTACCAGACACATCGCAAGTTCTTGTGCATGTGTAGAGATGATATTGTCGTGTGAGGCACAGGGCCCCTGGAGTGTCATACAGAACCCACGTTTCATCCCTGGCGAGCACTCGATCAAATATGCCAAGAAAGCAACGAGAAACAGGCTGCCACTCGTTGTTGCTCGTTGCCTTCCGACAGTGTGTGGGGTATATCCACTTGCTCAACTTGTACGCCTTCACAATGCAGTACAGGTGAAGTCTGACTGTTTCATCAGAAACCTGGAAGCGCTTTCGGCAAGAAGCTCACCACTGATTTGGATTTTGCCCTCTTCTATGGTCACCTTCAAGGTCTTATAACCCAGGATTAGTGGTCGGTCACTGCGGGAGTCAAATCTCCTGACCTGAACTTCTGAATTATCTCCAAAGGCTTGACGTATTCGGCGACTTGATACGGCTGCTGGCAAAAATACCGTAAAGTTATAAAGCAGACAACCTTCGACACCGCAATTTTTTCTCGCTGCTGTTCGTGCTATGACTGATATTTGTGCGCGACGCACCTGCATTGGTCAAGGGCAAAGTCTCCATCCCACCACCAGCGGTTTTCAGGTATGTGACGCACTCATTTTCGTATCAGTGATCGCTTCTTCCCACACGTTGTAAAAACGATAAGGAGTTTTGGGGTTATATATATATATATATATATATATATATATATATATATATATACAACACACACACACACACACACACACACACACACACACAACCTACATATCTTCAGTGAGTTATAAACTTCACTTTTTCAAATTCAAATACCAGAGTACCATTTAAAAAATATGAGTAGGAAGTTGTCGAATATAATATCTATTTTTGTGTTTGCTCATATTTCTAAAACTCCTCCGTTGGATTGCATTATAATGACTAAAAAAATGTTGCACAGTAATCAAGCGAATCGACGACATTTGAGATTTATTTGTTCTAATTTCTGATATTTGAATCTTGGCTGAGAAAACCTTGAAGACACCCAAGTAAAACAGTAAATATTTGAGCAGACAGACACGTAATATATACTCTTTTTTGTCTCTCTCACACACAAAAACGCACGCACGTACACACTCATGCACGCACACATACACACATTTATATATATATACATATAATCACAATCACACGCATCAACATATGCATTTATATGTCTGTGCATACAGATGTAAATTTATACGTGTATACATTCATTTGCACAAATTTATATATAAAATATGGCGCGTGCATACACACTCTCACATACACGCATAAATACATTGATTTATTTAATTTA